GGAACAGAATAGGGAGCCCAGAAATAAATCATGCATATATGGTCAACTAATTTACAACAAAGGAGCCCAGAATATACAATGGAAGAGGACAGTGTCTTCAATGCATGGTGTTGGGAAAACTGGATAGCCACGTGCAAAAGAATGAAGCTGGACCACCATCTTACACCATTCACAAAAATTAACTCAGTGCACTCAAGACTTGAAACCATAAAACTCCTAGAAGAAATCATAGGTAATAAGCTCCAAGATATAGGTCTTGGTGATGATTTTTTGGATCTGACACCAAAAGCAAAGGCAGCAAAAGCAAAAATGAACAAGTGAAACTATGTCAAACTAAAAAGCTGCACAGAAAAAAAAAATCAAATTGAAAATGCAACCTACTGAATGGGAGAAAGTACTTGCAAATCATATGTCTGATAAGGAGCTAATATCCAAATTGTATAGAGAACTCATACAATAACAAAACAAACAGACAAATAAAAAAAAGCCAGTCCTTTTAAAAAATGGACAGAAGATCTGAGTAGGTATTTTTCAAACAGAGACATATAGATGGCTAATACATACATGAAAATATGCTCAACATGACTGATCATCAGGAAAATGCAAATCAAAAGGATTTGCAATGAGATATCACCTCACATCTGTTAGAATGGCTATCATCAAGAAGACAAAAAATAACAAGTGTTGGTAAGAGATGGAGAAAAAGGAGCCCCTGTATGCTGTAGGTAGGAATGTAAATTGAATGCAGCCACTATGGAAAACAGCATTGAGGATCCTCAAAAAATTAAAACTAGAACTAAAATATGACCCAGCAATTGCACTTCTGGGTATTTACTCAAAGAAAATGAAAACACTAACTCAAAAAGATATATGTAACCTCATGTTCATTACAATATTATATATAATAGCCAAGAGTTGGAAACAACTTAAGTATTCACTGATGGATGAAAGATAGGGAAAATGTGGTATATACACAATGGAAGATTATAAAATAAGGAAATCTTGTCACTTGCAACAACATGGATGGACCTTGAGGATATTATGCTAAGTAAAATAAATCATAGAGAGAAAGACAAATACTATATTATCTCACTTATATGTTGAATTTAAACATAAAATAAGCTTATAGATACAGATACACATCACACACACAAACACACACACACACATACAGGAATGATATTCGGCCATGTAAAGAGGAATTCCTGCCTTTTGAGACAATATGGATAGACCTTGAGGGCTTTATGCTAGGTGAAATAAGTCAGACAGAAAAAGACAAATACTACATATTTTCACTTATATGTGTAATAAAAATGCCTAACTCATAGAACTAGAGCAGCATCGTGGTTGCCAAGGGATTGAGGCAAGAGGACCGCTCCTTGGGGAGAGGAATAGGGAGGTGTCAGTCAAAGAGAACACACTTCCAGCTCTAAGATGAATAAGTTCTGGTGATCTAAGCTATAGCATGGTAAACATAGTTAACAATACTGTGTTTATACTTGAAAGTCATTAAGAGAGTAAATCCTGAATGTTATCACCACACAAACACACACACACACACACACACACACACACACACACACACACACAAAGGTAATTATATGAAGGGTATAGAAATGTTAGTTAACCTTATTGTAGTAATCATTTTACAGTGTATATGGGTATCAAATCATCACAATGTACATCTTAATCTTATCTACGTTATATGTTAATACCTCAGTAAAGCCGGGGGGAAAAAAAACATATCCAGAATCCGACCATTTCTCACTTATGAAAAGCCTCCACTTACTTGATTACTACAGTAGCCTTGTAAGTGAGATTTATGCTTATGCTCTTGCTCACTATAGTCTATGTTCCACCCAGCAGCTGGGGTGATAGTCATGAAATCCATCTGATCATGCAACAGTTCCGTTCAAAATCCTCTAGGGTCTTCCTAAGAGGATCTCAGACTAAAACCCCAAATCTGTGCAAAGACCTACAGGGCTCATGTGATCCAGTCCCTCATTAAATCTCTGATGTCATCTCTTAGTTCTTTCTGCCTTATTCACTCAGCTCCAGCCGCACTGGCCTCCTTGCTATACCCGTGCCCGGCGTGTTCCTCCTTCCAAGCCTTAGCTCTGCCACCTCTCTTGGAATGGCTCTCTCCATAGAATCCCAGATTTACTCTCACCCTTTCCAAGTCTTTGCTCAATACGTCACTTTCCTGCCAAAGACTCCACTGACTCTTGCCTTTTAAAATTACCCAGAACTCCTGATTCTTCTTGCTCTGTTCTATGTTTTCTGTAGCACTTTTCGATTATACACCACTAACATCCTTAAACCCTGTTGGACGTTTTAGTTAAAGCCATGCTGTCTCTTATCTTCCTCACCCATAGCACCTTAGGTGGTCTGGGGGTAAACCCTAACTATGAATGCAGGACCTGACAGGATTTGGTATTTCAGTCCTGGCTCATCAGTCATACTGGGCCTTGTAAGTAACATGACCCTCCCACACATACTTACTTCTTCATCCTGGTCTCTCCCATTCTCCAACTGGCATAAAAATGCCAGTTTCCCAATCCCTGAAGGAGGAGATTTTGCCACAGTAAAAACCAGATACCAATGGTAACCCTGGAACTAATTGCTACGGGAGGCTATTAGGCATCTGAGACAAATATTCCTGGTGAGTTTACGGGTTAGGTGATCAAGGTCACTTTCAAAGTATGGAAGTATATTGGGAAAGGGAGTGGGGCATTCTGTAGTAAGGAGATACTGTAAGGTGATGATATCATGATGATGCAGTCTGACCTCACCAGCCTGAGGTTGGTAACTGAGGATTAACTAGGGTAACTAAGACTTAACTGATTTTTAGATGTGTAAGTCTGTCCCAGCAAACACAGACAAGCAATCATCAGGCCACATTTAGATGGTATGACTTCCTCACCGCCTACAAACTGGGTAGCCAAACCCCTACCTCGAAAAGCTAGAATGTAAGGAAGCAAGAAAAACTGCCCCATCACAGAGTCTGTTTGCCAAAGAACATTGTATCATCCAGTCTCATTTGCAGCTGACCAAGACGATCTGAAACGGCCGAGAGAGAGGCTCATGCAAAATATGCCAAAGTCACTTGGAATTGACCACGTGGAATAGAATTTCGGCAGGGGCATGTTCTTTCAGAAAACTTAGATGTACTCTGATGTTCAAGTACTACAGCTTTCTCCTAATTGCACTGACTTACCCATTAGGGATTCTTGCTTTATTCTGGGTTCTGTGTCCTCCATGATTTTGCTCCTGAAACCAGACTTAGAGACAAAAATCCCTAGCTTCCCCTGCCTCAGGAATGCAAGGAATTCAGACAGATGGTAGAGATGAGAAGCTGCCTCGTCACCAAGCTCCTGGGGATCAGAAGGAGAAAGTGAAGAGAACAGGGGAACAGCAGATAATGTGTTAGCATGTTAATACATTGTAATTTTGGCCAGAATTGGACCTGCTAGTGGGAACTGTCCTTTCATGAAATAGTAAATAGTAGTTTACACTCATTGTAGCATATGAGACCACTGTTCCCATGATTTTTAACTTAGTAAGTTTCATAGAACTTATTGGTCCAAATGAAGGTCCGCCAGTTCTGTCTGACTTGCACAGACATGGTGAAGCTGTTCCTGTCATGTCTCTAGCAGTCCCGGGCGAAACCAGTGCTGTACCCCTTCACCCCCAGCTTCAAAGTGTCCTTATAACATGTCTTCTGACCACATTGCTGGAGGGTGCGCACCTCAGCCAGTACCACTGAATAGCAGTGGGAGAAAATTATAACAAGAACAAGGTTGAATCCAAAGCATGATGAGTCTCTTCTTGATGACCACTCTTTTGGTCTAGAGTAACTATATTTAGTGTAAAATTATTATTTTTGCCTCTTTTTGGATGATCTACACGTTTAACCAACTCACTGTACTTTGCATGAAAATCAAAGTGTTCTTTTCTAGTTTACTTTTGCTATCAGTGTAATACAAAATCTATTTCCCTAAATTAGGTTGTATCTCATTAGTCTTTTAAATGTAGAATTGTAATGGTTCAAGGTTAATGAGATTGAAAAATATGTGTAACTTAAATTGTGACTAACTTATTTCAAAAATATTCCAGAAAATAGAAATTTCTTCTAGTAGTATAAAATTATGAATGATATTTAAATCTTGGTAAAGTTGACTGCACTTCGGTTAGATTCACCAATAAAATAATTGTTGAGTACCTTTATAACTGAAGTACTCAGGCCATTTCGGAATTGAATTAGTAAATTACAGATTGGTTTATTCTAATGCAAGGGAAAATGATTATCCATTAGAAAGGCCAACAGGAAGAAAGTACTAGGGAGGTTCACGGCAGGGAGAGATCATTACTGGCCGGGGTACTATCCCACTCTCTCAGTCACTGTTCATACCCAGCTCAACTGTGTCTTGATCATCTCATTCATTAGTTCTTTATTCATTTATTCAAACATATATTCTGAACCTTCAATGTGCCAGGCACTGTGCTAGATACTGAGACAAGGTGAAGGTCAAATAATAGTTGGTCAGGTGGACAGGAAAAAGGAGTTAGGCAAAAGGAATTACAAGCACAAAGTCATTGTTGCAAGTTATGTATTTGCATTTCAAAAACAACTCCCCTTGTCTTCAAATATGCTTTAGAAATCATTTAAATGTCTCATTTATATTTTAGCAGAGTGGTTGAAGGAACTCTAAACTCAGAAAATGACTTATCTGGTCGTATACATTCAAGAGGATGGTCAAATTGTTAAAATGAAAAAGTTAAAGCAAGAATTTGACTGACACTTATCTATTTAAAAATAGATAACCATAGTATATTTAAAGGATAAAACAGCCTATATCTTATTGCTATTGATTTTTAGGGCTATTGATTCTTGTTTTAAGCTTTACTTTAACAGTTCTAAGAAGTGGGAATGTAGAGGAGTCGGATCACCTGAATAAAAAATATAATGGTATACAAATTCTTTTTCCTCCACCCTCTAGATTTAGCAGTATTTACACCCCACCAGTTTGTACTTGGTGCCTGCACACATGTGGGATGTACAAACAGTTCCCTGGTCATACTGTACACAGCACAGCTTCCACCAGAGCGTGTGGATTCCCCACTTCTGACCGTCCTGGATTCTAGAACTATCTATGTACAGTAAGTAGAAATGTTGTCTCTGTCCCACATTGGTTTATGCAAGAATCCCAGTGAGCTCAATCAAGGGAAGGGCTTGTGACATAAAACTAATTTTATTGTGATGAAATGCATAGAAGTGATTAGTTCAGTGGTTCTGGGAACCTTTGATTATCACTTGCCAACTTAATTTCCATTTCGTCTCCACGCAATCAGGCTGAGCTACATACGGACACAGATTCTGTGCAAACTTCAATAAATGGAAACTGACCACTTGCAGGACTGCCTTGGGCTTTCTACAGGGGAGGCGTTATCCGTGATGAGCTGGAATTAGTCTAAATATTTATTTTCTTTTTGAGTATACACTACAACCCTGCAGTTGAAGTCAGAAAGGAACTTTCACGTATAGGCATGTTCAGATTATTTTTGGTATGAATGGATTCTGACCCATTTTCTAAACTCTGAGGTACAAGGTATACTGTCATTACTGAATTGAAATTTAACAAACCTCTCCTGCCACCAATGAATACTTGTTTACATTCATCTCTGTTGGTCTCAGTTTTCCCATCTGGAAAAGAAGAGTTTGGGCTGAGTAAATTAGGGTATTTGTTCAAGCTGGGAAACATTATGATCCATACCCCATTGTTCCAGGTCTGAGATGTCCTGTTGGCTTTCAGTGCTGCCTTAACCTGAGCCCGCATTACTTACGCCAAAAGATTTCCCACTACTCTAAGTATTTCTCAGTTTACCTGTTTCTATTTTACGATTTGTCCGGCTCATGTTCACTCACACATTGTAAGGTGTATGTGGAATATCCTCTACTTTTCCTTCTGCCTACCATATCCGATCCATCAAGTAGACAGTCTTCTGTGTCTAGATAGTGTCTCACCTTATCCATGAGGTTTGATTTGACTACTTCGCACTTCAGTGCACTTCAGTCCTCAGCTTCTCTGTATTCTAGAGTTGCATGTTAATTTGGCATTAGATGGCTGCATTTTTTCAAGACAATTATGTTATTTCTCTCTCTCTCTCCCATTTCTCATAAATTCTCAAATGTTCTATTTCTCTCAATTTTTGTTCTATCGCTTAAGTTCAAAATTAAATACTCACACATTTTTTATATTATTGGCTAGTTAAAATTATAAGTAACTAGAAAGTAGGCACTATGCCATATTTTCTTTAGACCATTCAGAAGAGACATTTAATAACTACTTGGGTTTTTTTTTTAAGATTTCAGTGTGTGTGTGTGTGTGTGTGTGTGTGTGTGTGTGTTTTGAGTGGCATAAATCCAAGTTCATATGCATCCTTTAAAAATCTTGCACATTTCAGGTTTGACTTGAATGAATGATGGATAGTCATGCTACCTTTTTCCATTCCCAGGTGGAAACAACCAAGAAATGTAAATGGGATTCTGGAGCGCTATATATTATATATTTCAAATCACACACATGATTTTACAATTTGGGATGTCATCTATAACAGTACAGAACTTTTTCAGGATCACCTGCTACAATACTTGTCCCCTGGTAATAAATATCTCATCAAGCTGGGAGTAAGTTCATTTTACTCTACCACTTTCTCTTCCCTTCTCTCTTCCTTTGTCCCATCTTCTCTCTCTTGTTCACTTAAAAAAAAAAAAAAACCCAAACCCCAAATTTCTGTATTGCTGTTGAGACTGAAAACATACTTCACACTGTAAATGGGAATGTAATCTAATATCTACATATTTATTTTGTATTACACAGAATGATGGCATAACAATCCGAGTCATTAGATTTTTCCCCAATCTAATTTGGGATTATCAGAAATTATTTCTTCTTTGTTATTTCCAGAATGTCATAATTGGTAAGGGCTTTTTCTAAAATGCCTGAATTAATAAGGTTATTTCCCTATGGAGCTTGTTTTCATTTGGAAAACAATGTACGCTATGAGAATTTAGGTCTTATATTTTAAAATGATGGTTTAAGTGATCCCTAAATATTCTGGATTGTTATTATAGTCTGGTTTACATTACATTTCTATCTCAAAAGAACAGTCACTTAATAAAAACCCTGGAATCAACATACTTTAGAGGTCTTTAGACAGACAATAGCATTTTTTAATGCAAAATAGCACTTTTATACAAAGGTCTTTTAAAAGACCTTGATATTACTGTGGAATTTATACTCAGTGGTTCCTTTTGTTTTTTGATGAAATATAATCTTTTTTAAGTTTAATAGCACATCTGAAAATAACTGAATATAAACATGAGATTGTCCCTATTTGCTTTAAACACACTCTTCATTTTATAGTAATACCTATATAAGGATATTTGCTTTGATAAATGCCATAGAAAATATTCTGCTCTTGATTATGAATAAATTTACATTTATGTAGACACTGTGTATGCATTCATTTTACTTAACATGCTCTTGAATGCTCTAAATATTATACCATGAGAAAATAAACTACATTCAACTATTGCTTACTGTCTGACCTGACATCCCAAAACAAGGGCAATCAGACAATGTTAAAAATCCTATTCAGAATTGACTCTATGTGCCTAGGTGTTCAGCACGCAGATGGGCTTATGAAGCAGCATCTTTGATTACTTAGTTGTAGCACTCCAGATGTAAGAAAGTTATTACCTTGATTTTCAAAAACTAATACAGAAATCCACACTATTTTCAAAACAGTGGTAATATCAAAATCCAGAAAAGACTCTATTGCTTAGAAGAAACCAAAATTAAACAGAAATTGTTGTGCTCTTAGTTTTTATCAGGAGGCAAATGTCATGAAACAAAGTTCTACTCCCCAGGTAATTTTTAGGATATGCTGTGCAATCAGTATAAATCCACTCCAGTCTCCTATGTTTTATACATCTGTAATATCTTGAAAAATGAATACCACTAGATTGGGAGCCTGCTTGCCTGCATTTCAATTCAGATTTTGCTACCAACTGTGTAACCAAAGGCAAATTCACTTAATTGCACTGATTTTTATGTTCTCTAAGCCTAAAGTCGGGGCTTTGAACTAAATGATTTTTAATGTCTCTTTGAGCCCTAAAATTCCATGACACTAAATCATTCTGTGATCCCAAACAATATTCTATGGAATCAAATAAGATCTGTCAGCCATTGAGTAATGTTGATGCAGAACGTCATAAAGATGTGGAAGTCCCTGCCCTAACTCTTGTTAGGAAAATAAATTTGCTCACATTATTTTTTATTTCTCTGTATTTGGTAGTGGAGAAAATACACTAATATATTTCAGGAAGTAGTCAATTAAGTTTTTTACCTAACTCTATAACCAGTAAAATAAGTGAGCCAGAACATTTTAAGTTCATCTTGGTTAATTGAAGGGTTACTGTATATTTCACAGTTTCCACATAATAACTGGCTTTCAAGGTCATTAGATTAGTAGATGGAGATTAGGTTCTCAGCCAAGTGCAGTTGTCTTTACAGATAGTCTTAGCATGTTGAAAGTTCTGGAAAATAAAACATACAGATGGCCAAGCCCTTAAGAATAGAAGACGATACATGAGGATTCAAGCCACTGTGATTTACTCTAGACTCAGAGACAGTATGTTACTTCAAGTGGCTTCATTTAATTTTTCCTGTTACCTTGATTATACACCCCTGAAGGGTAGAAACAGCATCTTTCAAAATTCTATCTGCTGAGTCAAGCACAGTGTCTGGTAGAAACTGGAAGCTCAGCAAACAATTCTTGAATGAATGGATAAATGAATGAACACTAAGTATATGTATTTCATGAAGAATCTGAGACTTCTGATATGAATTAAATGATTTGCTGTAAGATGTCAGAATTGGGGACTGTGTGGATCTAAGCATATACTTTTTCTACTGGAAGAGACAGCATAACATGTTACTACACTCAACAAAGGGTATTGTGGAGTGTGGTAGTTCTGAATAAAGATAATAAGTCAGCAATTAAATAAAGAAGCTAGTAATACAAACTAGTAGCAAGATATGTACAGCTTGATAATTTTCATATTACAGCTAGACATTTGCCTCTTGATGAATGTTAAGTGTTAAATATCTTTACTGGAAAGATTCTTGGAAATGATGAGCTTAATTTTTCAAAGGATCATTTATATATAACATGGCCTTGTTCCTTTTCTTCATACTCTAAGGTATGCTGCATTCTTAATATCCTCAGAGCCTACTTATCTGAACACAAACTATTGAAAAAGACAATGCTAGTTTTGGATGTTCCTAATAGTCATCATTTCAAAATAATTGATACACATGTATTAATTACTCATTTCCTTTACCAAAATTCAATCCCCTATTTGATCAGAAGTTACTGGACATTTCAGGGTGGTACTATGACTTTGCCACTTAACAAAAATGGCTGTAACTGAGAAAAGCTATAGGAGATGGGTTGAAATGCCTTATTGTAAAGGCTCAGGGGCTTTCAAAGACCTTGCTATTTCATAAAAGCATCTTTAATTGATCCCGCTAATTTATTTAGTTTTTCCGAACCAGAATTTTAATCAGCATTCAGTTGCATTGCATGCAGGGGCCTCCAGTGCTGGTAGGTCAAACAAGATACTGATTGGTGTGATTTCATTTAGATAATATCAGTTAGATTCGACAAATCGGAAGCAACTTTAAGAGCATTTTTTTCCTTATTTAGGAACTGCTCACTTAGCACCTCTAAATGCATGCAAAAAGAATGCGGAAAAAAATATTTTGCAGGTAATTCTGTTATTTCAGTAGCCTCTTTATAAATTCTGTTTTCTTTTCAAGAAAAATTCTCTCATAAACTCCTTGGATTCTTAGAAAGCTCCTTTGTCAAATTATGAGTTTATGGTTCTTAGATGACATAGCCCATAGCCCAAAGATCAATCCTTCCAAACCAGAGGATGTCTTTACTTACCCCAAAAGGCATCCTAAAATTCTCAAAACAAAGTAAATTTCAATTCACTCTTTATTTTTAAATATATATAATTACATGTCTTATAATATTTCTTTGGGGAGAGTTAGCTGGGGTCAATTCTTAGGACATAAAAAAGTAATAGTGACAAGTAGACGATCTGAATTAAATCCCAGTGTATTATGGGTTTAACAGTAAGATGCTCCAACATTTTTCCCCTCCTAAGGAAAAAAAATCTAGGAACTGCAAGTAGTTTTATCTCTCTGAGGACTAAAAAGAATGCTCTTTCCATCATTTTCCTTTGATAATTTGGCTGTCCCACTTGGCCTCTTTTCCTGCCATATTTTCTAGTGGACTTTTAGTATGTTTGAAATGTCTTTTTTTTTAATTTTTCTATTTTAATGTTATTTCTTGGGCTAACAATGACATGTCCTAGAGCTTTGAGTCATGGTTTGGCCACAAGCTCAATTGATTCCTCTTTATTTGCAAAGATTCTGTTCTCAGGAAGAGGATAGTTTATCTCTTCCATATATATGCACACGCTGCAGCGGAGAATTAGAGGGAACCCACAGAGGTTAATTAGGTCCCAATCTTAATGCAATTTCATGCCCAAGCCCCAGTTTAACCCGTCAGAAACTTGCCTACACTGATGAGAAATTATCCTGAAGATATCGGCTACTGTTGTATTCTTGCAAGGGAAAGTGAGATTGAGCTCCATGTCTACTGACCATTTAATATTTATACTCGTAATAAATAATTTGAGACAACTTGTTCAATAGTATACAGCAACTTAAGAAAATATCTTTAAAAATAAGTCAACTGTCTCTTATTTATAGGGAAAAAAATTCAACTGTGTTGATTATCAAAAGGTTGTTCCCTTAATATCGAGCTGAAAAGCAAGGGACAGGCCCAAAGAAATAAAAAGATGTTTTAATTTTTTATGCTAGCAATATCTACATTCCCTGAAAATGGACTAAATGCCTATCTGCTTTTTACATTGTCCTATGATTTTGCTTCATTTTCTTAATTGGTTTTCAGTAAATTTTAGGGCTTTTTGAAATATTTTTAAATTTGTGTAAATTACAACTGGAACCTAAATTGATACTGAACAAAAGCTTAAGTGTAGTTTTCAAATATCTATGTTATATAAAGATATGATTGCTAATATTTGCTAGCAAATAGAGTCTGGAAAAGCCCTGTGTGTCTGTCTCTGCTTCCTGGAAAAATATTTATCCAATAAGTTAGGTAGCAAAGATATTTTCCTAATACACTTAAACATTTATTTTGGAATTACTTGTAGAATTATAAGAGTACACACAGAAGTTTCCAGGTTTTTTTTTTTTTAAGATTTGTTTATTTGAGAGTGAGGGAGGGAGAGAGAGAGTACACATGCACGTGATCAGGGGGAGGAGCAGAGGAAGAGGGACAAGCAGACTCCCTGTTGAGCCCAAAGCCTGACATGGGGCTCGATCCGGCGACCCTGAGATCATGACTTTAGCGGAAATCAAGAGTTAGACACTTAACCAACTGAGCCATCCAGGGCCCTCCCAGGTATCTTTAACATCCATGTTTTCATTTATGGCATTAGTTAATACCTAATTAGGGAATGGGAAGATTCTGTGATCACTTTAAGTGTGCTGGCCGTGTAATGAGCCCATTTCCTCTGGCACATAAGTAAGTGATTTGACCCTTTAAGCTATTAAACAGTCACTCAACAACTGCTTTGTTGCTGATACATGAGAAATACTATTTTATTCAATTTCACATTATGTTGTACTCTAAACATATTGGTTACACTATCGCAATAAAGGCAATTATATTTGCTGTAGATCTTTTATTTTACTCCAAGTCACTTGTTTTTATCCTGAAGTAATTTCAGTCTCTAGTGTTACCCTCATGTAGTGTGCACACACACGTGTGTATCTGTGCATGCGCACACTTAATTCCTTCTAGGAAACTTTGTACAAGGCTGATTTCATCAAGGTTATTCATCCAGGCAATAGATGCCCTATCGCTAGGCTCTAACATAGGATGTACTTATAATTCATACATGCATACGTTTTGGGTTATTTTCTAATTATCAGAGATGGCTGTCTCGTGTCCTGAAAAGCAAACTAATTAAATGTCAGACCTCAGCACTGAAACAAATTTATTTGGTGTGGTGGTGGGGGGGGTTGTGGATCAAGAAAACTGTGTTTCAAAGTATCTGGAACTCTTGTTATGAATTCTCTGTTTCCAAGGCTTTGGACCCAGAAAACTTTTGTGACCCAGAGTGAAATGTGGTTTTTGCATTTCCCCTCAGGCTTGCACAGGGGGTGGGTGCACTGTGAGCGAGGCCAGTGAGGCCCTAACTGATGAGCAGGCACCCGAAGGTGTGCCAACCCCCAAAGCACACTCTTATTCACCTCACTCCTTTCACATCTCCTGGACAGAGCCTGAACATCCAAATGGTAAGTGAACTCTTTTAGCCTCAAGTTAAAAAGATGATTAGCAAAGGTAAATTAATATTCTAAATGGCAGCTTATATGTGGTGCTTAATTTTTAATGATCATTTTAGCACATAAAATACCTGAGATAGTATCATTGTCTGCAGTTGGGAGATTGTAGTTTTTAGGCTAACACACAATTTTGGTGGCTCAAAAGTGCTCCCTTTTGATAGTTCTTGTGTACTGCATCTTATTGTTCAATACGTTCCAGGAGAGGTGGAGAGAACAGATGAGGATTCCCAAAGTGCTATTGTGACAGTGACATTATATTTTCAGTGACTTTCTGTTTCTGACAGTCTTGAGTTCATTCTCGGAGAGGTAGAGAGAGAGAGAAAGTCCATGCACATCATGTATTTCAAAATGCTTTTGGTTGAATAAGTTTATCTTAGAAGAGACCACTTGGAACTCTGTATTTTAATATATTATATGCAAATATGTCAGCATGCAGTTTTTAAACAGTGCATATGTTAAATATATATGTATTTATACTTGTTTAACTTCAAGTTGATTGTGTATATTTATAAGTGACATATACATCTTTGCATAGTTTAGAGAATTACGTAAGCCAGTTCAAGTTGGCTAAAATAAAATCTTATAAAGAATTTGCAATAACTTGGAGGTAGAAATTACTTTATTCATTTATTGGAAATATCTTTAAGTTTCACACAACATACTGTCATTGTTCCACACTGATGGAAACTTATGTAACATCAAATTTTGTTCCCGTTAAGACAAACATCAAGACTTTTAATATCCTAGAAATTGTTTTAAGTAGTTTGTTACTGAAAATCGAGATGGCCTCCTTTAGCATAGCCAAAAAGAATGGAAGAAAGAAATTGAATTTTATTAGTTTGTCTTATGTTTACTATGATATTAATTATTCCAGTCATCTCATTTTAATTAAACTTTTGGCAAATGCATTAGATATATTTGAGGTAATGGAGAGAGTTCAAATAATTAGAGTGAGTGATTATCTCTGCTATTGAAGTGATTCCTGTACTGTTATAAATTTCCTAATAAAAAAATAAATGGATCTCTATTTGATACTTATATGAAACAGTAAAAAAATCTTGCCATACTTCGTGCTCCACAAATGTATCTAGCCCATAGGTGGCAATGCAAATGTTAGTGATTTATTCCAATTGGATTGCTGTTAAATGCCATTACGTGATTTGCATCGTAGAACATTTTCCTTCATACCATTGGTCTTGGCACCTGGAACTGCAACTGTACTCAGAATCCTAGGTGGACCAGAGAAATACTTTCTACATTTCAGGGAATATTTGCATACTATGTTTTGTGCATTTGCAAGCAGTTTTAAAATGTATTCATTGAACCAAAAAGAATTTGAGAGGTTTTGGAGATTTGTGTAAACACTTTCATTGTATTCTAAAGTCTTGTGTTTAATCACATCAGAATTTTCAAAATTTTTATTTTGGGGCAATGGTTAGACATTTAAAAAGTAATAGTGTTCATTTAAAAAGAAAATAGCAACTTTCACGCCACCTACTTCTCTCTTCACTTGCCCCAAATTTTCCAGTGTTTGATTTTTATTGTCTATCATCTGGAGAGGGAAAATCTGATTGTTGGAAAACACCTTGTTCCTCTATTTGTTTTTAAAGCCCCCATACTTCCCCTTGAAAACCTAAAGAATAAAATCCAAATTCTTTAGTCTAGTATTCAGGTCACTCCCAACTTATGACTCAACCTGCATTTACAGAGCCTTGTAACATATGTTCCTTTCTAGAATTACTTATGGCTTACTGTAGGGTTGCAAGACTGTGTGTGTGGAGTCAAATTGGCCTAGAGACAAATATTATCTCTGCTGTGTAGTAGTGTGTTACTTTGGGAGATGGACTAAATTCCATGAGCCCCAGTTCTCTTGATTATAAAATTGGCATTGACAACCCCTATTTTCTTTCCATCTTTCTTGTGGAAATCTAACTCATTCCTCAGAACTAAATGTGGGCCTCTTTTTTTTTTTTTTAAGATTTTATTTACTTCTTTGAGAGAGAGAGAGTTAGAGCACAAGCCAGAGAGGAGCAGAGGGGGAGGAAGAAGCAGACTCCTTGCTGAGCAGGGAACCCAACTCGGGGCTTGATCCCAGGACCCCGAGATCAGGAAACCTCTGCCTGGATTTTTATTACCCTTTCCATTCAACATATCCAAGTTGATTTCTCCACATGTTCTCTGCCCCTCTACCTGCCTTTTCTCCTGTGTTCCTCCTCTTCCTGATTAGCACAACCCAGTCACATGAGCCAGAAACCTGGATGGCATTCTTGACTTCAACCCTGGCTCACTCCTGACTTGTCTTACCACATGACCCTCAACTCCACTCCTCTAAGGAAGGTCACTGATATTTCTCACCCAGATAACTTCAAGAGCTTCCTCATACCCTGCAAAAATCTGAATTGGTTCATTCAAAGTCTATTTTTTGATGACCTACTGCTAGGTGCCATCATTCTGATGATACCAAGATGAATTTGCCTAATCCCTGATCTTAAGGATAAGGGCTCTTTAGGGGAACAAATAATCACAAGGTAGGGATATGAATAAGGTGCCAAATGTATGGAGAAGAAGTTCCCTGAGGAACCCTATGGGATGTGGAAGTGTAATCCCTCTGGGTCTCCACTAGGTGTGGCAGGTCCAGAGATATATAGGCATTTAGACTGTCATGTTGTGAAACAGATGCTTTTTGCATGGTTTTGCACATGCTGGGATCAGTATTATTAACATGGAAAAAAATATGGAGAAACAATAAACCCACTTCCAGTAATAAGAAGTATGTGAATTTCCAAAATATATGCCCATATGTGACAAAATATGAGAGATATAAAAGCTTCTGAAATAAATGTCTAGTTCTTGCCTATCAAGCAAATGGTCGCCTTTAGTCAGCATGGCTTAGGAAATAGACTCTCTGCTTTTCATAAATGATTCTGATTTAAACAGTCACTTTCTACTCATCAGAATCTTGTGATATCCTGACCCAGTGGCTAAGAGAATGGCGTATTGCCCTTCTGATTGCCATTTTCTTCTTTGTCTCCCAACCTGCTCTACTCCACAGCTTGTGCTGGGAAGCTTGCTCTTTGCTTCAGGACATGCCTCATGTGCTCTGAGAATTTTTCCTGTCCTAGAACTTTTTGTTCTGTGCTCTACCAGCAGTTTTAAGAATAGTGCCTGACCCACATAATAGATGCTCAATTAAAACTTTGCTGATTAGCACTACCAAATGCACAGAAAATAACAAATGTTGGCAAGGAAGTCAAGAAATTAGAACCCTTGGGCACTGTTGGTGGGAACATAAAATGGGGCAGCTACTATGGGAAACAGTATGGAAAATTCCTCAAAAAATTAAAAATAGAATTACTATGTGCTCTAACAATCCCACTTCTGGGTATTTATCCAAAAGAACTGAAAGCAGGATCTTGAAGAGATACTTGCACACCCACAGTCACTGTAGCCAAGAGATGGAGGAGACCCAAATGTCCACGGATGGATGAATGGATAAATAAATATATACACGATGGAATATTATTCTGCCCTTAAAAAAAGAAATTATCACATGCTACAACATGGATAAACCTTGAGGACATTATGTTAACTAAAAGAAACCAGTCACAAAAAGACAAACACTGCACGATTCCACATAGAAACAGAAAGTAGAATCTGGCAGGGGGTTCAGAGGGGGAATGGAGAGTTGCGGTTCAAGGAATATAGTTTCAATTTTGCAACATGAAAAGGTTCTAGAGATCTGTTATACAACAATGTGCATTTAGTTAACAATCTGTACTACACACAGAAAAACAGTTAAGATGGTAAGTTTTAGGTTATGTGTTTTTTTACCACAATTTTAAAAATATGATGTAGAGAGGATATAGTAAAATGCAGTAAACTTTTTAAACCAGAAGAAGAAAAGGTTAAGGGCTGTGTTGAAACAAAATTTATTAATTGAAACAAAAGTTTCAATTAATAATCACTTAAAGATAGATACATAAAATATACATTTGTTAAACCAGAGTGAGATCATTCTGTCTTGTGTAACTTGTTTTTCTCACTTAACAACGTTGTGGAGACATTTTTCCCTGGCAGTTAAGCAGACAGAGCCCAGCTTCAGTGTTTCAAAAGGCAGCAGAGTCCCACTGAATAAAACCACAGCTTATGAGACCCATGTTTTATCAGTGGATATTTATGTTTCCATGATTTTGCTGTTATAATGCTACATGCTGTTAATTGCCTTCTACCAAGTAGTCGGTAAGTACTCGGTCTTTATCACTTGATTGCCACCTAAGGCTTTCTTTCCTTCAAACGTGTCCTACCGAATTCTAGGTCCTTGCTTCACTTACCTGCAAAAATGGAGTGACCCTCCAGCTCTCTTTCTCTAATCAGAGTGCTTGGCATCCACATTCCCTCCGGCAAAGGTGTTCTCCGCAGGCTGCTATTTCAGGCAGAATTTTAAAACCTGAATGAGAGCTACTTTTAGGAAGATAAGAACCCTTTATTGTGTAGCACCTGGACCTTTCCTTTGTCATACCATCAGCCATCAGTGAGAAGGGGCACAAAGGATTACTGTCTAATAAATTTGTGACCTGTGTTGTGAAGATTACAATTGCGTAATCAGAATGATGCTTTTGAGAGCTTCCAAATTCTCATGAGCCATATTCCCTTTCAGAAGCCTAGGCCTTAGAATCTGTAAATATGTTTTTTCCTCACACTTGCAGTCCCCCCTTGCTAAAATCAGCATCAATACTGACTATACCAAACTTATTCCTCATTACCTAGCATAACGTGTAATGACATTTGAAAGTAATTAGAATATGTTTTTTAAAACAGTAACTAGAAATATAGAATATGAAATTCGTATCCTTTATTAATATTTACAATTGCTTGTAACTATCCACTATCTTTACTTAAGTAAATTTACTAGAACAGTTTCCCTGTTAGATTGTGACCCACATGAGGACAGG